CAAAGCATTGCCGTCAACAAAGCAACAATACAATTGTGAGCTAATTTTTCAACAAAATCTATGAAAATGAGGAAACAATGGAATGACATATAATTTAAAAAAAAAAAACAACTTGGCAATGTAGAATTCTGTACCCAGAATTCCTAAAAAATTAGATGAAACACATTTTGGGCAAACAAAAGCTGAGAAAACTGATCAAAAGCAGACCTAAGCTATGAGAAGTACTAAATAAGTTTAGCTTTAAGATAAAAATATTTCAGATGAAAGCATAGAAGTGCAAAAAAGAAATGACAGGTGTTCTTCATATGTTTTACAAACGGCTTCCATGCACTTGGGCATAGTTCCTGTCTTCTGGCCTCTTGGCAGGCTGCACCAGCAAGATGATGTGAGACATCGCACGAAACTCTCCTCGCCACAGCCACTGCTGACACTGCCACCACTGCCACACAAGCTGAGCTGCAAGTGGGGTCTCCTCACATCTATTTTACGATGCAGTGCTATTCTGTGTACCCAATTTATGTTTCAATATATCAGTAATTCGTTTATAACTGGTAGTTCAGGCTGTATCATCTTTTGGTGTCCCATAGTCAGGTGTTTGTCTTTACCAGGGTTTTGTTGCAAACCGAGAGTTGCTTTTAAATGGAGAATTGTCTGCATAACATGGCCTTCCTAAAAACTGTAAGGACTATGTGGTACTTTTTCTACAGGGACTTTCTAAAGACTTTGTTCAGCATCTGTGTAACAAACACTTTGAATACCACTGACTTTGCTGGGTCATAAAGCCCAAGTGAATGAGAAATTTGTGTTGAGGCCTGGATCTGTTAGAGAGTCCTTTCTTGCTCTTGGCCCATAAAAACTGGCAGCCTTATGCGTTACTCAAAAAATGGGTCAGAGTAGCATGCATCCAAATTACAGAGGGCTACTGAGATTTGTATCTCTTTGTAATGGGTTGTTCAAAGTACAATTTGTTCTTCACTTTAGAGAAGCCTCTTAACATGCATGAAACTACTGGACTCAAGTGTAGTAGCAGTAGATGGACTCATGCTAATACTCCATCTTTCACTTTACTGCCATAAGCTTCACTCTGGTGGCTCACAGTGAAATTTGGAGATATAGAATCAGTTCAGAGCCATTATCCTATAATCCCCAGATAATCTGGGTATTTTCTGTTTCCCAGTGCATGGTCTCCTTGGTAAATATCCCTTCCAAAAATGGTTGGGGGAATTTTTACAGTATACAACTGCAGCCATAGTATAGAGTCCTTCATGAATCCAGTCGCCTCTCACCCTGAAGCAGGTATACCAGGTTCTATGAAGTGGCTCAAGTCTGGGAGCTGGGAATAGGCTATGGAAACCACTATGGTGGCTTGCATTCATTTCTGTCCAGTAGAATGAGATTCTTGGATTTCTAAGCATTTTGCAATCAGCCCTCATTAACGATTTCTTTGGTTCAAAACACTCTGCTTTGTGGTTTGTTATGGTGATTGCTTCTACCTTGTCTCTGAGCATTAAGTGTTGCCACCTGGTGTTTATCACTCTGAGATTCCATTTTTCCCAGTGAAATTGGGGTAACTGGTTCCATTGCTGCACCATCTGCTATCATATCTGGTCTAATAAAGACACTACCAAACTCTGCTGGATACTAGTGCATTTCTTTCTAATACATAACTTAATGTCTTCCTAGGTGGTATTAGAAGATTGCACACAATAGATCCATTCCAACACTTTCATTTCCTTGGTTCTTTGGACTTTTTCTTCTACAGGGATGATCTACATTTCAACATCATTAGAAGAAGCCATTTTTGAAATCCCAGCTTTTACTCAACCATTAACATCATTTGTGAGTTCTCACTAAATTCTGAATCCCAGGTAATTGCACCTATCTCAATTAAATTAGCCCAATCATGACTTACTTTTCACCTCCCTTGGTCTAAATACCTTATATCTCACTGCACCACCAATATTGAGACCTTAACTCCCATTTTAGGCCTATAGACAATGAAACATGGTAGAGGGAAGTCGCTCTTCAATTTGAGAGTCACTGAAGATTTTTAAGCAGAGAAACAATTTTTTCTCAGAAGGGATACTATTAAATAAAAGGGGTTACTTCTGTCAACAGTAGATCCAGATGTTCAAAATTCTCAGCCTCCTCTGTGGGCAAAATATCAAGTCATATATTCCTACTCCTTCCCCCTCCTTAATGTGAGAGCCCTTAAAGGCTTAGGCTTTTTTTTTTTTTGAGTTGGAGTCTCACTCTGTTGCCCAGACTGGAGTGCAGTGGCCGCTGCTGGCCACTGCAGCCTCGACCTGCTGGGCTCCGGTGATCCTTCTGACTCAGCCTTCCGAATAGCCGGAATTACAGGCATGCACTACCATGCCCTGCTGATTTTTTGATTTATTGTAGAGATGAGGTCTCGCCAAGTTGCCCAGGCAGGTCTCGAACCCGCGGACTCAGGTAATCCACTCACCTCAGCCTCCCAAAGCGCAGGATTACAGGCTGAGCCACCGAGCCCGGCTAAATGCTTAGACTTTTAATTCTTTCTATATCTTTGAAGACATTGCGCCAAACTGTGGTACTGTTTTGTGCCATATCTTCTCTATGATTATAAGAGATGAGGGATTTCTTCAAAGCTTCCACATAGGCCTCCTGGTTGCTCATGTATGTTTTTAAGTGTAATTTCTAACTTGTTACCCCTTTGTTCTCTTTCTGGGGGCCATCAAAAGAATCTAGATGATAATCACAATTTTTTTTTTTTTTTTTTTTT